AAATTGACGGACAGATAGCAGATTGCAGACTAAAGATGGGACAACTAAGACATTATTTAGATGAAATTTTGACTCTGGTGTATGAAGAACAGACTCGCCACGACATGAAATAGGAAGAGTTTGACCATTGCCAACTGTAATGGAAGAGTGAGGAGGAGGATGGTGAGAAAGGAGTATACCATCCGAGGAGCTCATGTGGGAGGAGGCGTCGGAATCCAGGACCCAGGGATGCTGGCCCTGGAGATGCATCTGATTGAGTGCAGCGACAAGACCATCCTGGTTCCACATGGGAGTTTGTTGGGAGACGTGGAGCGGCGCAAATGTCATCGGGGGCTGCGTAGGCGCGAAGGCCATGTGAGCCTGAGGAGGAGGGGCGCCAAGCACGCCTGGGCGCCAACCGCCCTGCTGAGCCGAAGGAGGGCCCTGTGGCGCCCATGGATTGTAGCAAATCCAGGGGCCCGTGGGTCGGTATTGGCCAGTCTGGCCAACACCGCCGCGTTACTGCGTAGAGCCGCTGTTCTAGCCACGCCGGCCCTTGCCCTTGCCCTTGCTGCCGCTGCTGTTGTCACCGCCGCCGCCCTTGTTGCTACCGTAGCCGGTCACGTGTGGGTTGTGGACCTCCAGAGTTGGCTGTGGCCACGAGAGCACGACACCCGCCCGGGCTGGTGTAGCCAGAGCCGGCGGTGGCGAGGAGGGCGGTGCTGGCGACCGTCTTTTTGTCGTTGCCGAGACAGAGCTCCTTTAGTGCCAGCATGTCATGGGCTCTGGCGAATGTGGGAAGTACAGTGGAGTTGGCGATGTCGTCGGCGGTGTTGGAGAAGCGAGGATTGAGGCCACGCAGAAGGGCGAGGACGAGCTACGAGTCCTGGACAGGATGGCTGACGTCGCGAAGAGCGGCGGCCTTGATCTTCAGCCGCTGGTAGTACGCTGATATGGTGCTGTCACCTTGCACCATGGAGTGAAATTCGTTGAGGAAGATGGCGCGTGGCTCCCGGTTGGCGCAGAAGATCCCTTCAATAGCCACCCACAAATCACGAGCGGTTGGATCGGCACCGTCCATGGCGAGGTCGAGGACGGAGATCCAGCCCCGGACGCAGCACTCCGCGGCATCCCACTGAGGATCATCAGGTCGAGGGGGAGCAGAGCCGTCTGTGCGAGCAAAGGCCGAACTTGCCGCACAACGACTTGAAGAAGAACGCCCACCTGGAGTAGTTGGATTGAAGGTCCAGCGTAAATGGGATGTGGGACTTGACATTGATTTGGCGTAGTTGTGAGCCACGATCGGGGCAGCAGTGCCGGCGCTCATGGCAGGCATGGTGGGAGTGCCTGTCGCGGGCAGGGTGCCGGCACTGGTGGCCGAGGAGGAGGAGGCCGAGGTGTCCATGGGAGAGGAGAGAGGGAGGACGGGTGAGAGGAAGTCTCGCGTGTGGGGGGAGGTGGCTGCGCGATCACAGAAGGAGTCGCGAGGTGGAGAGAAAGACCGGGAGAATAGGATCTAATTGGCTGATACCATGTATAGACACACCTCACACCCAATATAGGGGGGTGACCTTCATATATATAGCCAATATGGCTGGGTATATAAGGAATACAATCAAGTATACATAGCAGGTGCTAATTATAGCTAATCACACATAGACCTGCCTAATAGTCACGCACTGTCACTTATGAAAAGAAACTCCACTTTTCCAAGGCTGAAAATAAAGGAATCATTATTAGCGAAAACGTGAGATTTGTAAATACTTCTTTAATCTTTCCCTCACTCCTCTAGTAGTAAGATTGGTGTAAAATGCATCCCATGTGCACCAGCCAAACCAGTTTAGCATGTATGGCATCTACAACAGGTTGAAAGTTCAGAACTCGAAAAAAAAAGCAAGAGAAATTCAGATACCATTTCTCCAAGTAACATCTCACTACCTCATTTTGCCGTGAGAGAATGGCCTTGTCCGCTTCACTAAAAAGCCATGGCTGAAAGTACTATTCGCTGATTTGTTGTGAGAGAAAAACATTATTCCTTCGCTGAAACAGTACGACTCATAAGACAAGTGAACAGGGCCAGTCTGCAAGTGCCTCTGCAGCAAGTTGATTGATGTCATTCTTGTCAAGGGCAGTAGGATGAAATCTGCATTTCATGAAGTATGCATTACCATTTCACATCAGTAGTGCATTCGTGCTAAATGAGAAGTTGTTTCTCCTCTCCATAAAAGAACAATCGGAGATATTTCTTATTTGAAAGGAAGGACAGAATCTGCAGGCAGGGTACATGGAGAATGGATCTGGGCACATACCGACCCTCTAGAACAGGACAAATGCCCAAAAAATACACCGACCCTCTAGAACAGGGTCTGGAGGCTAGAAGCCCCCGGCCATACACCATAGGCACCATCCTTTACCGTCCACACCAGTATCGTTGACAATGCAGTCATTATGTGTTTCTGATATCACAAGCTACTAATATGATCGAAGTATTTAGGCTTAAACCTGAAATATTATCATTATCGTCATAACAAAATATGGCTGCTGACCACTAAGCTTGCCACACCACATCCTAATCCTAAGTGAACCACGGATTCTTGGTCATTGGTTCAACAACACAACTATGACAAAACATAGTATACTTTCTTAGCCCCTTTCTCACTTGCAAGAAACTCAAATTCGTGCCAAACTTTGCCAAATGTGCCGGCCAAAGCAAGAAAATGGTTCAAATAGTACTAGCCCTGCAACAAACAGTACTCCCTCCGTTCTAAATGGTAGGTCGTTCTCCTTTTCTAGATACATAGATTTTATTAGACATAATATATATTAAGGTGCGTAGCAAAACTATGTACCTAAGACTGTCTCCAACAGCGTATGCATAACGCGACCCATACTCAAAATGCGTGGTGCATAGTGTTTTAGCGGCAAAAAGACACGCTCCAATGGAGTAGGCAATCGCATGACCCATTTTGCGTCCGAGGCGATGCGGAACGCAAATAAGCGTCCTCTCTCCGTCTCTTTGCGTCTCCACGCAGCACCGGGCCCACCACCACGACCGGAGCCGGCTCAACGCGGTGGCCGCGTGGCTACTCCGCCTCGCCGCGGCCAGCATCGAGGGGGGCACGCGACATGAAGAACCCGCTCCAACGTCGGGTTGCACGCCGCACCGCCACCGCCGTGGTACGACCGGAAGAAGACGCGGGCGGCCCTAGATCCGCGCCGCGCCCCCACCGTCGCCGAACGGGGACGGCCCGCGCATGCTCCAGAAGCCGCGGCCGCGGGAGGTCCCGCCGTCGGTCGCGCCTGCTCCAGAAACGTCGGCCGCGGGAGCGCTTGAGCAGGAAGTCCCTGGCGACGGCGGCCGCTTGCTGCTGCTGGTCCGGGCTGGCTGGCGTAATCTCGGCCCCCGCCGTCACCTGAGCAGGCGCGTCGAGGTGGGGGAGGGCCACCGCCGGGGTGGTGAGGGCGCCGCAGGGGTGGGGGAGGGCCACCATGGCCAGGTGCCTTGCCCGCTTGCAGGCGCGAGATGAGGGAGGCGCGCTGCCCGCGGACGACGACGACGAGGCGGGCCCGCGACGCGGAGCGGCCGCGCGCGGCCAGACGGGACCGCGGCGGGGCGTGGGCGTGGCTAGCGCTGCCAGGAGGGGCACGGGAGAAGGAAGGGGAATGGCGGAAGCGACGTCACAGACCTGAAGAGGAAGGGGAGGTCGCCATCCCATCTCGCGGCGACGGCACGGCCGAGCGCGGCAGGGTTGCGGGCGACCAGTCGTGGAGCGAGACGTCGGGCGCCAGCGAGGAAGGCACGGCGGGGTGCGTGCCCATCCAGAGCTCGGCGTAGGGCCGTCCGTCCCTGTCCCCGCCTCCGTCTCCGTCGCCCATCCAGAGCTTGGCGCAGCGTAGCTGGAGGAGGCCCGGGAGCGGTAGCGCGGGCATCGTCGGCAGTACGGCCTGGTGGTCATCGGTGGGCGCGACGCGGAGGCCCAGCCGCTCCAGCAGCGCGGCCGCGGGGGTGAGCGAGGCCGTGGACGACGCCATTCCATTTCCGGCCCGTTGGAGTTGGCAAGTTTTGTGTCCGCGGCACTTTCCTGACCCAAACCGTGGAACAGGTGCCGCGTTTAGGTTATGACACAGTCTAAAAAACCAGAATGACTTACAATTTGGTTTGGAACGGAGAGAGTATCATTTAAGGCATCCAAAGCAGCTACAGGAAACACAGACTAGGAAGAAACATCACAAGCTGGGGTATGCGTGCACGGGAGCAGTATATGTTTGGTAATTACTGGTTTAACAATAAATAATCTATGAAGACCAACATCAATGAAGCAACATTCACAATTCACAAGCTGAGGTATGCAGGCATACGAGGGCATGTTTAACATAAACGATAGGAAAATTAGCATGGCAATTTCCGACGAATATCAAAATAAGAAGAAAGTGCAAGCATCATTCATCATCAATTTTGGCATTATAGGTTTCACATAAAAGGTATCTGATGCACAATAACACCACTCATGCTTTATTCAGATCCAATGCCTCACGGAGCAATAATAGCATCTGGAATCTCCAACAGGTTGTGTTTGTATCGGTCTTATTATGTTTTATTTCTAAATAGAGCTACTGGTGTACAAAGGTAGGAAACAAATGGAGGAAGATCAGCATCTGCAAGAAGTGTCATCAAGGAGAGCCAAAGCCACCGCCACCAGGCGTGAAAATCTGAAGAATGTCACCAGCACTAACCGTTACAGTGTTCTTTCCTCCGAGGTAAATCTTTCTACCATCTTTTCTGACTAAATAGTTTGCACCACGAGCTCCATCTCGTCCTCCTTTTAGTCCCCTGGGAGCATGCACCCGTCTCTCGGATAGAATGCTCACAACAATAGGCCGCCGGAATTCAATCTCCCTCACAAGGCCATCACCACCTCTGTGTAAACCAGAACCTCCACTGTTCTCCCTGATGCTAAATGTGTGCAAAAGAACAGGGTACCGCTGCTCAAAGATCTCAGGGTCAGTCATCCTTGTGTTTGTCATGTGACATTGAACACCACTAGTGCCATCCCAGGGGTTGGCCCAGCTCCACATCCACCTCCAATGGTCTCGTAGTAACCAAAGGTGTCATCCCCAAAGGTCAAATTGTTCATGCAGCCCTGAGAGCAGGCACAGGCTTGAAACGCCATTAGGATAACATCAGTCACTCTCTGAGACGTTAGCACATTGCCACCAACAACAGCAGCCTTGTCACTAGGTGAGAGGAAAGAGCCTTTAGGAATGAGGATCTTCACAGGCGCTAGGCAGCCTTGATTTAGCGGTATATCGACATCCACCAAGCACCGTAGGCAGTATATGACAGCAGCTGTTGTAACTGCTTCAGGAGCATTCCAGTTGCCATAGACCTCAGGACTGGTACCCTCAAAGTCAATTGTAGCTTCACCTTTAATAGCATCAAGGGTGAGTTTCAAGTGAAGGACAGAGCCATCATCCATATAATCTTCATCCTCAACAACACATGATCCATTCTCCTTTGCAACTCTAGACGCAACAGTTTTGAGCATCTCTCTGACAGCTACCTCAGCATTCTTTTGAACATGGTTCATATATGATTGAACAGTGACCAAGCCATACTGATTTATCAGTTCTTTGATAAGTGATATACCTCTCTGGTTTGCTGCAACCTGAGCATGGAGATCGGAAAGATTATCTTGGATCTGACATGTTCCTGGGATCTTATAGCTAGCAAGTTCATCAGAGCAAGGTGACTGCAGCAGCTGGACTATTCCTTCCTCTTGGAAAACACCCCTTTCAACAAGTTTAAATGCTCTGATGGCAGCACCTTCCTCCCAGATACATTTTGAGAAAGGAGGCATGCTTCCTGGCGTGATGCCACCAATCTCAGCATGGTGACCTCGACTAGCAACAAAAAAAACAAGCTTACCATGATCAAAAACTGGCGTGACGAAGATGCCTCCCCCCAGAACATGGATGGTTTGTTACAAGAACATCACCCTCATGGAGATTATCACCCCAAAAATTAAGCTTCCAACACAGTACTAGACATGGCTCCTAAATGCACAGGGGCATTGAGGTGCATTTGCTACAAGGCCACCATCTGGACCAAAGAGAGCACAAGAGAAGTCTAGCCTTTCCTTTATGTTAGTGGAAATTGAAGTTCTTTGAAGTCTCCGACCCATCTGTTCAGCGATACCCATGAATCGGTGATTGAAAATAGAAAGTTGGACCACATCTGCAACTTTCTCTGATATTGATACAGTGCTTGGAGCTGCATTAATCTCTATTTTTATGTTACCATACTTTGTAATGATGGCTTTACAGTCTTTTTCTATGATCACAGTACTATTCCCATTCATAATAACTGCAGGACCCTCCAAGACATGGCCATAACCCAAATTCTCAAGCTTGTACAGCAGAGTATCTTGCCACCCACTTGAAAAATAAATCTGGCATGAACTTTCTTTCACAGGTTTGGTTGATATCTGCGTCAATTCACGAGGCTGAAATAATTTTTCAAACTCATCGGCATAGTCATTTCCAGATCCTTGCTCTGGTTATTTAACCATGATGGCCGTATCAGTTCCCTCGTACCTCAAATTCAAGTATGAATTTGTCCTGATGCTCTCCTCTCCAAAACCCTGCTCCATCAGCTTTTCTTTCACCTGTTTTACTAAAAGGGCTTCTCTTCTAGATGCTTCTGCAGATGACTCGGTATTATAAACAGCAGAGTATGGTTCTTGCAAGTCTTCAATGACATCAGCAAGACCCATCCCATATGCACTCAATATTCCACAATATCGGTGAACAAGTACCTCAGACATACCCAAGGACCTTGCCATAGCGCATGCATGTTGTGGGCCAGCACCACCAAAGCATGCGAGGGCATGGTTCTTTGTATCATGCCCCTTCATTTCGGTCAGCTGGCGTATAGGCCGGCACATTGTCTCATTTGCGACATTGACAAACCCAAGTGCAATCTCTTCAATTGCCATGTCATTTGCTGATGGGTCCTGACTCTTTCGGTGAGAGTTGATCTCAACTGCAAGATTTTCGAAGGCCTTTCTTGTAGCCTCATAATCAAGGGGCATATCTTCATTTGGACAAAATATTGATGGGAAGTACTCAGGAATAACAGTTCCTAGGATCAAATTGGCATCGGTAATTGCTAGTTCACCACCTTTTAATTGCTAGTTCACCACCTTTTCGGTAACAGACTGGACCAGGGTGTGCCCCAACAGATTCTGGCCCAACCTTGAAAGCACCAAATTGAAACTTAAGCTTTGATCCACCAGCAGCAGCCACAGTGTTTATGTCAAGCTGGGGAGCCTGAATAATTGACCCAGCAATCTGTGTCTCCAGAACTTGTTCATAGCTTCCATCATAGCGGCTCACATCCGTGGATGTACCCCCCATGTCAAACCCAATCAGTGGCTTTGATGTCTCAAGTCCAAACAAGGTCTGCGAGTAGCCAACCACACCACCTGCAGGTCCTGACAATACCACTTTATGCCCAGAGAATCTCCTCTCCGGTGCAAGTCCTCCATCTGATTGCATAAATAGCACATTCACTTGTTCAGAACCCCCTTCAAATCTCGACATGAATCCCGATCGGTGAGATAGGCGTCCACACTTGCGGTCAGGCCCCGAGGCACTGCACGGACCATTGGTGTCAGCGATGAAGACAATGATACATGCTTGAATCCCATCCCCAGAGCTAACTTCTCATCCAGGAGTTCATGGTGAGGATAAGGCCACCAAAATTTTTGGCAAAATGGCACTGTAGCAGTTTTCGTTGTTATTTGATAATTAGTGTCCGATCATAGTCTAATTAGGCTTAAAAGATTCGTCTCGTGGATTTCGTTTAAACTGTGTAATTAGTTTTATTTTTTATTTATATTTAATGTTTCATGCATGCGTCCAAAGATTCGATGTGACGGAGAATCTTGAAAAATTTTGCAAAATTTTTTGCAACTAAACTGGACCTAAGTATATGAATGCATCAACACCACTGCCAAGCATCTTATCCCCTTGTCAAGCAGACCTTTCAACAGAGGCTTCAATGCTTCAACATCAACAGGCTTTGCCACCCTCACCAGTTCCCCAGAGATCCCTTCAACAGATGACTCATCCCTGTCGCTGTCACCATCATCACCTCCTCATAAAGATTCGACGGCTTTGACACCTTGAGGTCGAATATGTTCGGGCGAGCCTGATTACCAATCTGGAGCAAATCCCTAAACCCCCTTGTCACACAAAGCGCAATCCTTTCGCCCTTCCTCTCCAGGAGGGCGTTGGTGGCGACCGTGGTGCCCATCCTGATCCACTCGATCTTGCCGGTGGGGATCTTGGCCGACCGGGGAATCCTCTCTCCGGAGAACTCCTCCAGGATCCTCCTGATCCCTTCGATGGGCGCGTCGTCGTAGTTTGACGGGTCGACGGAGAGGAGCTTCATGACATAGCCTTCTCTTCTCCCGGGTACCTCGGCATAGATGTCAGTGAAGGTGCCGCTCCTGTCAATGCAGAACCTGAACTTCTCCTCCGCGCTGCTGTCCATTGTCCGCCCCTCCCAAGGTCAACAGGCGAAAAATTGGAGTTCTCTGAAAAGATCACAAAAGCAGGGTTGGTACTGGTACACCTGAGATTAATCTAGAAGTGATGGCTTATAGCCATGGCCCTGAACAGCGAATTCCTTTTAATCTAATCTACCGCAAACACTAAAGAACAACGGATTAGCAGGGATAAACACTGCAGGGGGCGAGTGAGCAGGAGGAGAACTAACCTCGGTGCAAGAACAGTGGCGTCGGCGGGGAGAGCGCTGGAGAAGGTTCGATCAACCACGGAACCACACCGTTGCTGGCCGCAATAAAAGAGCACACAGATGAGTCGATGGTGGCAGACTGGCAGACGAGGAGGAGAACGGGATTGTGTATTTTGTTGGCTGGTGGGCCCATGTCAACGTAAGCCTGTTTTCTCCGGAATTATTGGCCTTGATCGCTAGACGCTAGTGCTAATGCTGCAACAACACGCTACTTTAGTAGTATAGAAATATTAAAACACTAAAACCATATTACAGAGATTAGGGTTTAAGAAACCTCATGTACATGGACACAAGCACCTAGCAACTAGACAAATCCTTAACCACTTCCAAGGAAAGCATCCAGAGACTAGAATATGGCAATGCAAATTTAAGTAGGACCTCCGGGATAAAAAAACATCCAAACCAAATAATAAATGTAACATTATGAGCCTTTCAGCGATTAGAAGAATATAGTTTTGATTTTAATATTAGGGTAGAGGGATAGAAACATAGATTGACACCTGTCCCATCTACATTTTACCATTTGCCATATCAAGGCCTTGTTTAGATGAGTGTTAGGAATCAGAATTTGGCACTGTAGCACTTTCGTTTGTATTTGATAATTATTGTCCAATCATGGTCTAACTAGGCTCAAAAGATTTGTCTCGTAATTTACAATCAAACTGTGTAATTAGTTATTTTTTATCTACATTTAATACTCCATGCATGTGTCCAAAGATTTGATGTGATGGAGAGAGAGTGAAAAAACTTGAAATCTAAACAGGGCCCAAGTAGAAAAAGCACGGAAAACTATAAGGGGCCGTTTTGATCCTTTCGTTTGGAGAAATTAAAATCTACTTAATAAATTAGGTTATTCAGCTTAGAATTTCACGTTCCATCATTTTCAAAGTTCACATATAAGGCTATCTCAAATTCATAAGGTGGGAGATGAAAATTAATTCTATAGATCACCATTCTATATTTCTACTTTGCAACTTATAACACACTCTTCAACTCGCTCCCCTACGGTACAAATAGAACACATAAGTATCTCTTTCGTAGAGCCAATAATAATTTACAAATATAATCTATATACAATCGTATTAGCTTAATTAATATATATCTAAATTATGATTATTAAAATGAATTCAATTCCGAGGATCCAAACAAGACCTAAAGTTAATTTCATCAAACTACAAATATAGATGTTATTTAAATAACGATAACTTGCACCAAACTACGACCCATGAAGAAACTACAACTTTGGGAACCAATAAACACAAAACATCAACTTAATTGTAGGCAGGTATATGAAGACGGTCCTAGAAGAGTAAACTCATGTAAATCCAGGGAGTAAAGTTTAAGGATGTCACAGTATCACGTGGGAGTGACATGAGAGTGTTCGGATAGTAATAATAAAATAAATTACAGAAGTCCTCAGTAATCTGCAAGAGGAATTTATTAAGCTAATCCGTCAGTAGCACATATTTACTGTAGCACCATATTGTCAAATCATAGACTGATTAGACTTAAAAAATTCGTCTCGCAGAGTAGTTGCAATTTATGTAATTAGTTATTGTTTTAATTTATATTGTCCAAACATATGATGTGATAAGGAGTAAACTTTAACGAATTAAACAAGGCGTGAGTATTCTGTTGCACCGGGTATTACTCATTACAATGCTGGTCTAACTCTTCATTAGTGGTCAAAGAGCGTGCCATGAAGTAGCTTGCCCAAGCTCTGAAGTCAGAATTCTGGCACATCCTATATAGTTCATACTGTGAGACCCATAGATCGAAAAGAGATTTTTTTTTTCAGAAATATGCATCTGCTAGAGAACACGCTGAGATCAGTTCTGGGCTTCTGGCACAACATTCACTGAAGTCACATCGAGGTTTTCACCTACCGAGTCCAACGCTGAACAGTTTCAGAGCTCCATAACAATATTATGGCTTTAACCAAGCTCGAGGATTCTACCGTTTAGAATGGCCAGAGGTCGCCCCAAAGTGACCTACGGGCCTGAAAATGCAAAGTTGGGTTCTTGCTTCGGGTGACAACTACACGCTCAAATGCGCCTTCGGATGCGTCCCGTTTGGTGGAACGGCATACATCCATTTGTACTTGCCTCCCTCTTCGAATGGGGCTGTATATAATGCGGCCCCAACCTCCTCCAAGGTCAGCACGAATCGTTTGGTCCTCCTCCTCTGCTTCTTCACTTTCATGGAACAGACTTAATTCGTGTTCATCTGAAGCATATGGTACCAGACTGTCCCCACCATCGACAGGAACCTCTTCATCTTCCTCGCTTGGAAATTGATCGTCTGAGAAAAAAAAGGAACCAGAAACATGATTATCAGAAACCACAAATACAAAGGACTCGATTAATAATCATGAATAAATATTACCATAGTCAATGATAAGATCTTCTGGCTTTCTCTTGGCATGGCGTTCTTTAAGCTTCTCAAAGTTCAAGCCATCAAGTGGCCAAGCTTCCCTATTATACAGAAGGGAATCTTACTTAAATTCGAACATAAGCATGCAGGATCACATGGAAACTTAAACAAAATGTACTAGTACAAATGAATGTTTAGATCAAGAAATAATCTAGAAAATATGAACGTCAAGCTCTTACTCTGGCCGTTTGCCTCTTCTTAAAGCAACATAGCAAAATTTTTCATCCTCAAAACCACGTAAAGGCACACCTTTTGACCTCTGCAGCAAATATAAAGAGAAGGGAGATAAAGAAAACTAATGGCTACATAGTTCAATAGTCTTGTTAATAGGTCAAAATATTTTCAGATGCCTACACTAAGTTCAAAAAGGTATTCTGATGCTGTGCCCAAAAATGTAAAGCGCACATTTTAATACACCCTCTGGATCCTGCATCAGACACTACCACGACTCATACAGCTTAAAGCTGTGCGATCTTTGCTGGAGCATAAAAGCATATGCATGAACGTCTATATTATATGAAAAGCAAGCACGGAGCAACAGCACAACATCTTTTATCTGTGGTGCATGGACCGTGATATTCTTTAACTCCTTTTAGTCACTCGGATCATGTAAGACAAATTGTTTCTCATACAAAGCATGGCAAATAACCAAGAAAAAGATGATGACCTTGTAGGCACGTTGAGATGATGTCCTTTCCAATCTCTGGACAAAGTGGCAGTACTTGTCTGAATTCTCCAAAGGGCATCGACCATCATGAGGACACTGAGATGGAGATTGAAATTAGTAAAAACTCAGCCCTGGGGAAAAGACAACCCCAGGTATTGATAAAAGAAGAAACTTTGTCGCCGCAGGACCAAGAAAACGCCCCGAAGGCCCTGCCTACACAGGGCATATGTCCAGGAGTAGCTAGGACATGTCTGCAGGTTACGTATATCCCTGGAACAGCAGGGGGCGAAGGGTGTTTTTCTCAATCCAGCCCCGGAAATTCACTCCCATAGGGAGTCGAACCCAGGCCACTAGGGTGCTACTAAGGCACTAGAACCACTAGGCTAGAAGCCCTTTCACGAAATTGAAAATAGTAGTATTGGAGAAATAAATAAAATGAGTATTTCTGCTTCCAACTTACAGGGGCAACCACAAAAGAACCATTTTTCAACGAGGCTTCTTGTGCAACAATGCTCTTCATGCTACTTGGAGGACGGCTTGAGGATTTTTCAATTTTGCGACACTTCTGGAGAACACAAAACTTATGTAAATAAACTGGTACATAACCAGGGAACACGTGAAAGATTTGTGTAGACACACTGAGTGAGTGGAGCATACTCTTTTTTCCATCCAAAGGATATAAGAGCGCATTTGGCTTATGATCTTTGCTCCTTGAGGTGTTCCAGGCTCTAATAAAACCTAAACATGCACATTATTTTCTTCAGATACAAGTAGCTGAAAAATTATCACTCACACATACGCAACTATATTGAAAGAGGTGGAGGTTTGATTATACCAAAACATCGCTTGTCAGGTCCCAAAGCTGGCGCACTATTGTGATTCGGTCACTCAAAGAAGGAATCTCGCCAAGTGCATAAGACTGTAGGTTGAAAGAAGACAGTATATTCAATAAAGGTTGAAACATTAAGATCTCCAACCAAAAACAAATTGAATAAAAATGACTTGTTGATCTGAAGTAGTTCCACAAAGCAGTAAATATAACTTACTGATACTACAAGATCGTGGCCTCGTTCATGTTTTTCTATTTTGCGGTTCAACTCTTGGATGCTGTCATAGCTGTGAATAAGTGGCAACCCCTTCAAATCTATAAACATTTGCCACATAAACAGTAATAATTAGCATTCATTCCAGAATTCACAAATTAAAAAAATATGAATACAGCAACTAACACTTAAGTGTATGACACTGAAGTAGCACCATGCTCATGTAAGACAAAAAATAATAATGAACTTTTCCAGATAAAAGTGCAAGACTCAGATTTACATTGTGGAGTTTATATAACTTTATGGTGCACGGTCAGTGGCTGTGCTATGATTTGCATTATTTACAGTCAGCCTAAAATTCCTACATGCTTGCAAGCTGCAACACATATACCACTTTGTGCCACTTGAGCGTCAGCCAATCAATTGGACAATTGAATATGAATCCCAGCAAGTAAGCAAAAGTGAGAGCTAAGCTTACTGTCAAGGAGACTCTGCCCTGCTCTTTGCATTTCCTTGGAAGGCTCGACCAGGTTAACCCTCTCTATAGATTTTGGCCACACTGCCCTCATTGCCCTGCATTCTCATAGACATATTAAGCCTGTGTAAAAAAACCCAGCCATAACTGATGTAAATCAGGACATCCTTACCAAAGAGCTGAGCTTGGCCCGGCACCAAAATCCAACACCTTGGCAGGCGCAAATTCTGGCAACCTCCGTCTAACCTGCAAAGCCCACGAACCAGTCCATGAACGTGCTACATTAAATAAATTCAGCTCATGAAGGACGACAACAGCAGTGAGGTCTGATGGTTGCAACCTCTCGCAGTACGCGGTGGCACGCAGCGTAGATGGCTGGCATGCGTGACGCAACGTAGGCAACTGTCTCGTCCTCGCGGTACCGGTGGCCGATATCGCCGTAGGCCGACCGCACCTTCCAGCGCGCCGCCCGCTGCTCGGCGCCCGACGGCGCGTTGGGGTCGTCGAGGAGCGCGCTGCGGGTGGCGGCCGCGGCGAGCTCGGCGCCGGTGCCCTTGGCGCGGTCGAAGGACGCCGAGAGCAGCAGCACCTTGCGGTTCATGTGCGCCTTGTCCTGGTCTGCGTGAGCGAAAGGGGGTTAGCAGGGGAGGCAATCAGTCGAGCAGGTGGTGCGCGGGGCGCGTCTATCGGTTACCGCGGAGGTAGCGCTTGATGGCGCGGCGGAGGGAGAGGGGGACGAGGTGGATGCCCTGGGACTGCTTCGCCGCCGTGCGGAGCGTCTCAGGAGTCAGCAGCCGTGGCGCCGTCTCCGGCAGGAGCGCGGCCGCCATGTCTCGTCTCGCGGCGGCGCTAGGACCGTGACCCGTGAGTGGCACAGGGTTCAGGAAGGGACGCAGTCGGCAGTCGCACAGACCGTGCTGCCAAAGGGTTAGCACGGCTCGGACGCGACTCGGATCAAGGAGGCGAACCGTCCGATCGGACATGGGCGGCGCAAGATCAAGGTGAGCATGAGAGGTGGCATTCTTACATAAGAACCCCTTTTCTGTGCCTGTGTTACAAGTGAAAACTGAGGCCTAAGGCCCTCGGCAAAGCAAAAGTGTGTTGTGTCGACCATCTCAATTCTCAACTCTCACGGTAGTATTTTGGGGTAGCTTTCATGCTTTGTTCCAGATCAAGGTGACGATCTCAACTCCGACGGTAGTATTTTGGCGCAAGCATCGAGAATTGGCATCCAGGTGAGCTAATCTGGCTTGCTCAGGAAAGCAAGGCGAAATCGAGCGGAGTTACATAGGATATGAGGTAGCCTTGTCTCCCGTCCAGGCCTGTTTGGCAAGGCTCATCCCTGACTCCGGCTCTGGCTCCTGCAGAGAATTCCTGCCAAATATTTTTCTAGAGAAACCGTTTTTCAGTAAAAAAAACAGATGAGCCGGAGCCGTTCGGCTCCTCTGGAAAAGCCCCTTAAGAAGAGGCATGCCAAACACCCCCTTAGCCTCTTTTATAAATTTGTACCTGTAGTCACTATAAGGTGTTGTTTGGTTCAGTGTTGGCAAGGGCAGGCGGTGGTACATGTTACACTGTAAAGGAGAATAGCTTTTGTTTTGTTGCTAACGTACTTTACAGAGCCAAGAGGAGCGGGAGCGGAATCGCTTATAGCCCGAAGAGGAGCGGGATTGTCTTTCCACAGGCCTGTATCTAATCCCGCGGTGATAGATTACAGCCCGACCGAACCAAACACAAAGTGACGGTAATAGATAGCGCTGTGAACTGATTATACAGGCCTAAAATATCGAACCAAACAACAACTAAAATTCAGAAAGAGAGGCCAAGCATAGAAAATAAGAAAGAAGAGCTTCTCCTAACATATATTTCTAGATTCTCTGATTTTTTTATGGAGGTAAACACTTTTTGTAGAAAGCAAACGGGTACCTTTCACGGTTTTTACCAGCAAGAAGATATGGCCCTCTTCGTTTCGCTAAAATTTGATTTATGTTGATGCTTATGCTGATTTTTTGTGAGAGAAAAATATTATATGTTCGATGAAAAATACTGCTGAAGTAGTTTTTTTTTGAAGAATTCTCTTATTGCACTTTTTCAATACATTTCGGACTGATGTAGTTGACCATTCCGTGTACTAGCGGCATACTTTCATGGTCCCACGACATCTCCGTGTACGCAAATTATGCATATAAGAATTCAGCCCATATAAAATTCAATAGTAATAATCAAGGAGAACGTACCTATGATATGACCCGCCTTGTGTACAGTTTGTGCATGCGGTGCACCCTCAACCGTTCATGACGAATGACGTGTTGGCTAGTTGCGCTCTCAGACTTGGCAATGTTTGGTTGGTGATAGTTTTCAAGTCCAACTTTAGATAAATTGTGTCTGCCACAAAAAGTGTGGTGAGCAAAACCAAAACTACACTTAGGCCTTGTTTAATTGCACCAATTTTGCATCTCCAAAATTTGCAGTGTAAGATTCTCCATCACATCACATCACATCAAATCTTTGGACACATGCATGGAGTATTAAATGTTGACGAAATCAAAAACTAATTACACAGTTTGGTTGTACTTTACGATACAAACGTTTTGAGCCTAATTAGTCAACGATTGGACAATTATTACCAAATAAAAACAAACGACACTGTTGCTACAGTGTTGCTACAGTATTTCGGGCGGCGCAAATTCTGGGCAACTAAACACGGCCTTGTAGCAAAATTTGGCAAGAAAACAAATCCATGACATAGATCATATAGGAATTTCGTAGAAATCAGTTTATTTTCATAGAAAAAATATAGAAATAAGAAAAAAAAAACTCTTGTGTTCCAAACATGCGGATGCCTGGCTTGTTTTCTTTGACTTATATAGGGATTTCACACGTTTTAACTGCAAATTGATATGGTGGCAAACTGATATGCCTAGAACCACAGGTAAAATGGTCGGAGAACATTCTGGTTTCATTTTCTTTAGAAAACATTAAGAGCTGCCATTTTTTAAAAAGAAAACTCAGAACGTATATTTATCATTAAAAGCATAATACAAGCATTTAGGAAACAAGATCAACTTGATCGCAGCCACAGCAACAAGAAGAGAGTTAAGGCATTCAGCCTGTTCGCTGGTTGATTTCTGGGCTGATAAGTCCGACTGCTGTTGATTTGTTGTGAGAGGAAAACACTGTTGACTGGCTGATAAGCCTTGGCTGAAACCAACAAGCGAACAGACTGATTGACACAAAAGGAAAAGGCTGCGACAAAGCCACGACAAAAAACACCGTTGGTTCCCATGTGTACACGCAGATAGAACATCACATCGAAAGCTGTTAAAACCCACTTAGTTCTGCGAGCACCACAGAATTCAGAGCATTGGTGGCTCGTCCACGTGTCTACACGTCGCGCTACATGTTTTGCAAAAAAACGCCCTCAAGCTTTTCGGAAACCAACCCGCAGTCCAGATCTCCCGATGTTGATCGCCCTCACTCCCGCACGGGCTGGGTGGCGCCCGAAACCCTTGCTTCCCTCATCTCTTCCCTCTTCTCGCCTTCACTCGCGGTGACGGAGGAACTCACAGATCTGCGGGGACCTCCCCTCCCCTCCCCTCCCCTCCCCTCCCCTCGCGGTGACGGGGCAGCTCACGGATTTGCGAGGACCAGGCTCATGGTGACGGCACAGATCTACGAGTTGGTGGCATCTCTCCTCCCCCTGTCGCCACCGCCGCTCGATGCTGGCCGCCATCACTCCTCCACCTAAGGCTCTCGTCTGGAACCACATCGAGCCGGAGACGCTGACGTGGCACGTTGTCTGGTGGTGCGCAGAGGTGAGCAGATCTGCAGTTGGCGGCGGCGGCCAGGTCTCCACGTCAAGCTGGCCAACATCGGTGACGAGGACCAGTCGCTTCCCTCTCAGACTCCACCGATGCGTTCCCTTCCCAAATATGCTTAGTTGAATGCCATTAGATTTATAGAAAAGTTTCTGCAATGAAGTATCAGAAGGAACTGACTGATTGGTAGATTTCCACGCATTTCCATTCCACCATTTAGCTATATCTGAGCCTTTTGACAGGGTAGTACCAGTTTTTTTATGGGCAAATTTCTTACGAGCCATTATAAAATATTATAATTTTTTGTGAGCCACTAAAAAAGTTTGGCGGACTTCAGCGTCATTGCTCTAATTTTTTTTGGCTTCTATGCCACTGCCGTTAGATTGGACTCTAACGGTGTCAAATTGCAGGTGTGAAAAGTCAAAAATACCCTTATGTCTAAATATGCCATTAATTTTTTTGAGCATCTTAATGACTTCAAATGAAAAAACTCAATACTAGAAAGTTGCAGAACTCGTCGAGATTTATAATTTTTATATAAAATTATATTCATTTAATTCCGCAAAAAAGATATGATTTTATATGATTAATACATCTTAAAAAAATCATATCTTTTTTGTAGTATTAAATGAAGATAATTTTTATATGAAAATTATAGATCTCGATAAGATCTACAACTTTCTAGTTTTGAGTTTTTCCATTTGAAGTCGTTAAGATACTAAAAAAAATAATGGCATATTTAGACTTAAGGGTATTTTCGACTTTTCACACTTGCAGTTTGACACCGTTAAAACCCAATCTGACGGCAGTGGCAAGGAGGGCAAAAAAAAGTTTGAGCAGTGGCATTGAAGTCCACCGAACTTTTTCAGTGACTCACAGGAAATTACGATCTATTTTAATGGCTTACAAGGAATTTATCGTGCATTTCTTCATATTCTGCAAGCAACCCCCCCCCTCTCTCCTTAGTGTTTTTATTTGCAGGGACAATGAGCTTGGCATATTTATTCAAAGTTTGGTTACACCGTGGGTGCAAGAATGAAATAAGATGAAAATAGCTAGAGCTGAAAAAAAACACAACTCCGTAAACATTGAATTTCTGTCTGAATGAAAATATGTCAGCAACAACTATGTTGCAAGCTGTTATGACCGGCGTCTACTATAATAGGCGCAGGCCCATTAGTGGCTAGAGGTGGACATCTGTTAGGGGCTAGCGGCCCAGGCGTCATCTGTTAGGGGCTGATTGCCCAGAATTAGCTATTTTATTTATTTCCTCAGATAGAATATTTAGTCCTTAAATATAGGATCTTATAGATGGAAGCTAGGAGGATAAATATCTATAAACATTGATCGGAGAGGATTAAGCAGAAAGCAACAATTAAGTTGCTGGCTTTCCTTGGGAGCCAGCCGTCCCTGCCCTCTCTCCTTCGCATGAACAGTACCCTCGTACTGTAGCACCACGTGAGCTCTAGGGCTACAGCAGCCGCCGCCACGGCTCCTCACCGACGTCGAGAGTACAGACCACGTCCTCCCCTCTTCCACCCCTATAACCTGCGCAGCAACTCTGGTAGGGCATCAAGTCCTATCAATTTGGTGTCAGCGATGTCAGGCCCTCTTTCCACCTCCACCGGCCCACCACCACCGCCGCCAATCACCACTGCTGCGCAGTTGCTGCCATCCGCTTCGGCGCCCGCTCCGTCCTCTACAATGTCGATGGAGCAGATGATCGCGGCCATCCACGAGCTGACCCGTTCCATGGCTGCGATGCAGTCCTACCTCGCCTCGCAGCAGCCGCTGCCCTCCCCACAGCGTCCACCGCCGCCGCCGCAGCCGACACAATCGCCCATGGCCTCCCTGCCGCCGGTGTTCCCTGCTGGGAGCCCCCAATCTAGTGCAACCGGCATGCCCATCCATCTACTGTGGATGCCGCCCTCCCCGTCGTCGATCCCATCTTATGCCCTGGCCCCGACGGTAGGGCCGGTGTATACGATGGCAACATTTCCGGCGACCACGAC